CAAGGGCTCTCTGGGACGCCAGCCACTTGCTCCATTGGTCTCCTCATTGGCAGTTCCTCTGTTCACTGCCTCCCTAAAATAGGACCCCAACCCAGAGAGATTTCTGGAATGGCCTTGGTGTACCCTATATTTGGCCAGATTTCAAACCCTGGAGTAGAGAAGAGGGGACCCCAAAGACTGGTGGTCTTTCCTGTTGAAAGTATGAGCTGAGGGCAGGAGGGGTGGGTGGGGCCAGAAGTTAAAGATGCTTAGCCAGGTCTCTGTGGGGCCTGTAGGGTTAGTGCGGTTGGAAGGGATTCGCCAGGCTGGCTCCCTGCAAGGCAGTAGTGTGAGAGAAGTCTAGCCTGAGGAGCGATCTGACTGGAGAGTTTAAAGAAAGCCAAGGCTGGCACTGTATCTAGAACAGCTGGATGGAGCTATGGGGGACATAGCTCCCTCCTCCACCGGGGCTGCCTCCCGGTTTTCTTCCCACGACACAATCAACAATGGTGGGAACATTTTTCTTCCCACTGGATGGAGCTGTGTGTGTGTCTGTGTTAATTCACCCACTATCAGCTTTGTGACTTCCAGTTTTTCACCTGCCTATAATATCCCCAGACTTGAGAGTATAGTATACACAAGACCCTAGGTTCCATCCCCTGCACCAGCAAAAAAATAAATTCCTAGATCCACACACTTGAGAGAGAAAAAACAAAACAAACCCACAAATACTCTCTGGATGATGCAGGTTTAAACTAAAATTCCTTGGCCTGCTCAGGGGAGTTAAAGCAAAAAGTCCAATTCTGGGTATTTGAGGGCTCAAACCTTATAGGCATCTGCTGGAGTCTGTCAAAAGTGGGTACTGCCACGGAGGTGGTGGGGCATTGGAAAGGATAAAGAGCTGTTTGCCTGATGCCTGCCTTTGTGTGCCTGGAGATCGGGATCATGCTGTCTGCATCAAAAAAAAAAAAAAAAGAAAAAGAAAGAAAGAAAGAAAATGTGAGTTTTACGACTTTAGGGGAGGACATTTGTGCTGGTCAAGCCAGAATCTGGATCACAGCTGTCCCCAGCACAGAGGCATATAGAGGAGCGGCCAACTGCAGGAAGTCTCTGCAGAATAGGTGGGATGAGGTCGGGAGCTGGCCAGGCTAAGAGATGTGCTATTTTGGTCCTGAGTTTTACCCTGGACGGTTTCACTGGCTGGTCCCCATCTTTTGCAATGCTCCTGAACCCCAAAATGTTAGTCACATACATTTGGAGTGTGGTTGGTCTGAATTGAGATACACTGGTGGAGTAAAATACACTCCAGATTATCCAGATTACAAAGCTTTGTTACACACAAAGAAATAAAATACCTCATTAATTATTGAAATGGAAAAGGTCTGGGTATGTTGGAGTAAATCAGATTCTATTAAAGTTAGCTTTAAGCTTTAAAAATGTGACTGATAGAAAATTTAAATTTACACATGTGGTTCACATTGTATTTCTATGGGCCGGCTCTAAGTTAAAGGTTTGGGATATATGAGAGAGGTTAGGAATGATGGCTGAAGGGCCTGGAAATGTGAGAACCCCATTATCACTAATGAGCCCCTCTGAACAGGACTCTTTCCTTGGGAACTCAGGTGCTCATTTTGAAAATTTGGGAGTATGAATATATATCTGGGAGTATGTAAAATAATTATTTATTGTAAAGTATTTTTAGCCTGGTAAGGTGTCTCATGCCCATAATCCTAACACGGGTGTGACAGAGTCACAAAGATCATGAGTTCCAGGACAGCTTAGACTATGAAGCAAGACCCTGCCTGTCTCAAAAGAGAAGAAAACACAGAGACTGGAGGGATTCTCCACAGTTTAAGAGCATGCACTGCTCTTCCAGAGGACCAGAGTTCAATTCCTGGCATCCATACCAGGTGGCTTACAATTCCTGTAAGTAATTCCTGTAATTCCCAAGTCCAGGACATAGATCTCACTCCTCTGGCCTGCACACACCTGTGCACACCCACACAACAGATATACATACATATAATTAAGAATAATAAAATAAGAAAAGAGCAGGAAACAAGGCTGGCAAGATGGCCCAAAGGGTAAGGGCACTTACTACCATGCCTGGTCCCAGAACCCACGTGGTAGAAGGAGAAAACCAACTTCTGCAAGTTGACCTCTGACATGAGCACTGTGATGTGTTCCTTGTGCACACACAATACTTTTTTTTTAGAGGAGAATACAAGGAGAGGAGGGAAGAAGAGGGAGAGAGAGGAAAAGGAGGAAAAACAGGAAAAGGGAGAGAGAGACCATTTTGTTTGTCCAGGACTTCCCCCTACATTTATTTATGTGGGTGTGGTGTACATGTGAGGTCAGAGGACAACTTGCAGGAGTCGTCCTCTCCCCCACCTAGGTTCATACTGGGGATCAAAATCAGGTCATCTGGCTTGGCAGCAAGTGCCTCTAGCTACTGAACAATCTTATTGGTCCCAGGTGAGGGCTAAGAAAATCAATTTGTTTTTCAGATTTATTTATTTACTTACTTATTTTGAGGTAGTCTTAGTAGTAACCCTGGATGGCTTGGAATTCTGAGATTCACCTGACTCTGCCTCCCAAGTGCCTCCAAGATCTACTTCTACTCATCTGTTCGTCTGTCTATATATCATATCATATCATATCATATCATATCATATCTATCTATCATCTATCAATCTATCTATCTACCTATCATCTATCTGTCATCTATTTATCAATCTATCCTTTATCAATCAATCATCTATCTATCTATCTATCTATCTATCTATCTATCTATCTATCTATCTATCTTGAGAGAGTACCCCACTATGTATGCCTTCAGTGGCCCAAGGCCTGGAATTCACAGAGATCTGCCTGCCTTTGCCTCTGCCTAAGTGCTGGGATTAAAGGCATACGCCACCATGCTGCCTAGTGTAGGATTTTTAATGTCAGTGTTTTTCCAACTGGAATCCTCAATCCTCAGACATTCTCCAGAACTCAAACCTGTTTCCCACTCCAAAATAACATCCATTTTCCAAGCTTGAACCTTGCTGTTCTCTGTGAATAGGAGTCCTGTGCTGGCATCCTTATCCATAGAATAAAGAAAGGGAGTTTGCTAAGAAGCTCTGAATTTTTCCTGTTTGAGGTGCCTTTTAGGTTTTTGTTTTGTTTTTGCTGTGTATGTTAGGATGTGCTCGAGCATATTGAATACATGCTTTCTCTATGTTCTTCCTCAGAGCTGCTGCTGAGTTCTTGAGCCTCCTGTCTCAGCTTCCTAGATGCTAGTTACAACTCTGCAGCACACTGATGGTATCTGTGATGTGCTTTCTGAAATGTAAAGTTGGAGTGTGTGTATGTGTGTAGCATGTTGGAAACTCAGTAATTTCACCTAAGTCATTCCTCTGCTGGAAAACATCTCCTTGTTACCTTTGGAAGGACTATTAGACTGTACTGGAAGCTGGGAGCACTCCATCTGGAGGGAGAAGAAAGAGATGAGGTGTCTACCCTTTTCCATTGATCTGGAGATGCCCCTCCCACTCTTGTCTCTATCCTCACCAGTGTAAGGTCTGCACTGTAGCCCAGTGGTGGAATACTTACCTAGAATTCCAAAGGCTCTGGACAGTCAAGACCTGGGGGTCCTTCACTGCTTTGCTGAGTTATTCACTCTCTCCCTCTCTCCCTCCCTCACTCCTATGAGGCTTGTGGGGTGGCAGGTCTCCTTGACAACTCTTCTACATTTGGTTCCTGGCCTCTTTCCTCTGTATACCATAGAGCTCCCCAGACATCTTAAGGTTTGTACTTGGGCCTTCCAGTGAGTTTTCCATTAGTAAGAGTAGAGCAAAGAAGGGGAAACCCTTTGCTTCAGCCGAGCGATGCCAGGAGTTCAGGTTGAGAGGCCTCATTAAAACTTTCTAATAAGCAATTAACTGGAGGGTTGAGACTTTTAGCCGGTCTGGAACTCCCTCCCCCTAATAAGAAGTCTGGGAGAGAGAGGCTGAGTGGGTGGGCAAAGATGAGACTGGGGCCTCCCCCAGAACAGAAACTAAACAAAAAGTCAGAGCAGGCACTACAAAGGGGAGGCCTAACCTTCTGTCTGACCCAGGGCTCCGTCAGTCTTTCTACAGGGTGGGGAGGCAAGGACACAGTGACAGTACACACCTCTGAACTGGAGACCTTGATGGCCCAGAATGGTCACCTTCTTGTAGACCTTGACCCCAAGAAGAGTGTTGGAAAGTTCTCTTCCACCAGGGCCTTCTCCTCCTCCCCTTCCTCCTCTTCTGTGTTTTTTTTTTTTGTTTTGTTTTTCAAGACAGGGTTTCTCTGTAGCTTTGGAGCCTGTCTTGGAATTCACTCTGTAGACCAGGCTGACCTTGAACTCACAGAGATCTGCCCATCTCTGCCTCCTAAGTGCTGGGATTAAAAGTGTGCTCCACCACCACTCAACCTCTTCTGTGTTTTGTTTTTGAGACCGTGTCCCAGGTAGCCCAGGCTGGCCTCAAACTCATTATGTAGCCGAGGATGACCTTAAGCTCTTGCTGTTTTTGCCTCTACTTCCCAAGCATTGGGATTAAAGGAGTGTGTCTCCAGGCAGGGCTTCAGGGCTCCTCTTCCATACCTGACCCAGATGAGGCCAGTCTTCTCCATCACTCTCTCTGGATTTTGAACTGAGGGAGGGCCTCTGCAAGGACAGAGCTGTGGTGGGCACGGCACTGAGGCTCCAGAGTAGAAAGAGGCCATCACAAGTTGAATCTACCCAGCCCCATCTCGCATCAGATCCAGTCTATGTCCTTCACTGCGTCTTTGGTTGAAACACAGGCCTCGAGGCTTTCTCTATGGCTGGACTGTTCATCAGCTTCTCCCTACCACCTCCTAGAGTGGCAGGTGGGATGCCTGCTGTGTAACTGCAGATGGTGGCATTTACACAGTGCAGCATGACTATCTTGGGAACCTGGAGCCTACTCCATCAGCCCTTTAAATAGTCTACCTTCTAACATCATGTATCTGTGTTCTTCCTGTCTCTTCAGGCTCTTGAGCAACAACAAGATTACTGGGCTCCGAAATGGATCCTTCTTGGGACTCTACCTGCTGGAGAAGTTGTAAGTACCCAGAAGTGTGTGGGCATGGTTGGGTGGTGGTGCCACATGACAGCAAAGGGTGGGAGTGTCACTCTGGGAAGGACCAGGCACTCTGAGGCTAGAACCTGCAGAGCCAGGTCTAGTGTAGAACCTGGTAGAAGATGGAGCCTGCTGGTCTACTAGAGCCTGCTGGTCTGGGAGAGGGAGCATCTGGCTTTTCAGTAGGGACTGCCTGGTGAACTAGGCAAAGTAAAGACTCTTCACTGTTCTAGGCAGAGGTGGGGCAAAGGGAAGCTCATTAATGCTCTTTAATGAGCAATTAGCTGAGAGAGCCCTTTAGCCAGCCTCCTCCTCCCAGCTGGGGGCCCAGCGTGAAATGACTGAGGGAGACTTAATGTGATTGAGCCCTCTTTCCTTCTTCCAGAAAAACAAATCAACAAACAAAGCCTGGAGGGGTCAGAGTCCTGGACTGAGGACAGGAGCTCAGTCATTTCTGACTCTTCTTCCCAACCCCTGCCAGTTTAAAGCTATGTTTGGGGCAGTGTCCTTACTCTCTCCATGCCGATGACCCTGGGGGCAATTTGCTGAGCAGGAGCTAGGGGCCACAGGCATTAGGAAAGTGAGAATACAGAAGGGTGAGGGCTCAGCTATGTTAGAGGGGAGTGGAGGAGAGAAGGCCTGGATAGGACACCTGACTCAGGGACTCACTAAGTCACTTAACTTGCCAGATGAGGGCTTGCATCAACCTACTGGCATGCTTCCAGAACCCAGCCTGTGCCATCAACTTGGGTTCTTGCCCTGGGCTGTCTTCTCTTCTGGGGACTGATTCTTGCTTTCTTTTCCACCCACACCCACCCCCACAACATCTAGTCTCCCCCTCCGGGGCAACCCTAATTCATACAATAGGACTCTTGCCCCCTCTTGCACCATTGTGTTCCCAAGCCTTGGTTCAGTGTGATGGAAAATATAAACGAAGGAGGTGTGACTTCAGTGTAATGGAGACCACAGATGCCTTTGTACATGTGACCATAAAGGAGTTTGGGGACTTCTTTCAGACATGTGCAAAAGGAGGCGTCATCAAGACTAGAGAGGTCAAGGGCAGCAGAGATGAAATGGCCACTTAACGGTGTTCAGCTTTCTTATAAGGCATCCTCCCTCCACCCCCTTCACAGTGGAAGTGAAAGAGTTTGTCAAATCCACCAAGGTGAAGAGGGAGATGTAGTGGCCTTGGTGGGAGACAAAGGTGGCCAAGTCTTCATGGGGTCCAAAAACTCTAGTCTGGGGCAAGCTGGGGACAGGAGAGGGTCCTGGGAGGAAGATGAGGGCGGTGGGTCCTCTGACTCTGCAGGTCATCCTTGTGAACATGACAAAGGCCATCAGCAAGCACATGCCTGAGGCTCAAATTCTCTCCCGACATGTTGCATTTATATAGAACACACAGTGTCCTAGAGGGAACCCGGGTCCTCCTTCCATCTGCAGCCTACACATTTGGGCTTCTAATAGCATCTTCTATAGGGATTTCTTCTTCCTTCCTCCCTTCTTTCTTTCTTTCCTTCCTTCCTTCCTTCCTTTCTTTTCTTTTCTTTTTTTTAAAGAGAGTCTTATGACCAGGTATAGTGGGACACACCTTTAGTCCCAGCACTTGGGAGGCAGAGGCAGGCAGATCTCTAGTTTGAGGCCAGCCTGGTCTACAGAGTGAGTTCCGATACATCCGGGTCTATACTGAGAAACTTTGTCTCAAAAAAATCAAACAGAGAGGTGTGTGTGTGTGTGTGTGTGTGTGTGTGTGTGTGTGTGTGTTGTTATGTAGCCCAGGCTGGCCTCAGGATGTCATGTCTCCAGTTTCACTAAGTGATGGGATTTCAAGTGAAGAAACATGTTCATTCTTCCATAAGTGATTGAGCATTTGGGAATAGAATTTTTTTAAAAAGATTTATTTTATTTTTTAAGTGCATTGGTGTTTTGCCTGCATGTTAGTCTATGTGAGGGTGTCAGGTCTCCTGAAACTGGAGTTAACAGGCAGTTGTGAGTTGCCATGTGGGTGTTGGGAATTGAACCCGGGAGCTATTGTGTCTTGATTTTTGTTTGTTTTTTGAGACAGGGTTTTGATTTTGTTTTTGTTTTGTTTTTCGAGACAGGGTTTCTCTATGTAGCTTTGAGCATATCCTGGCACTCGTTCTGGAGACCAGGCTGGCTTTGATCTCACAGAGATCTGCCTGCCTCTGCCTCCCAAGTGCTGGGATTAAAGGCCTGTGCCACTACTACCTGGCTTTATGTCTTGATCTTAAGAGGACAGGAAACCAAACATTTCTTTAGGAGTCTTTTGGGAGAAAGGCAAACCTGCATGTTTTCCTTCCTGGCACCCGTAGTTGAGCACTTCTCTGAATCTCAAGTGGCCCTTCTGGCATCTTCTATCTGTCTTCTTGCTTCATTTTGCTTCCTTTTCCTTCAGAGGTACAAGAACTACTCTTCCTCTTACCCATACAAAGTACCAAACGGGGCTCCTCTCCCCAGCACCACAGACAGGGAACTTGCATAGTGGGTCTTTCAAAGCCTGGGGAAGGACGTCTTCATTGCCAACCTGTTGGGGATTGGAGGAGTGTGCCATGAGAAAGGATCTAAAAGTGAGAATTCCCAGCTCTGAAGCCTCAAATAGGGCCAGTTGGTCGAGAAGAATACACACAGCTGGGCATTGGTGGCGCACACCTTTAGTCCTAGCACTGCCTCCTCAGGAGGCAGAGGCAGGCAGACTTCTGTGAGTTCGAGGCCAGCCTGGTTTACAAGAGCTAATTCCAGGACAGCCTCCAAAGCCACAGAGAAACCCTGTCTGGAAAAAACCAAAAAACCCATAAACCCTTAAAACCTAAATTCAGTCCTCAGCACCTGTGAACTGGGTGTGGTGATAAATGCCTATAAGTGAATTTGAGGCCATTCTGGATTGTATGGATTATATGAAAACTTATCTTTAAAAAAATGCTGTGCCTGGTGGCACATGCCTTTAATTCTCAGGAGAACTAAATCTCTGTGAGTTCAAGGCCAGCCTGGTGTACATAGTGAACTCTGGGCCAGGGAGGACAAATAGTGAAGCCCTGTTTAAAAACTAATAAAAATAAAAAATTAAATAAAATTCCAAGTCCGAGCTGGGACCTCTGCTGGTATGAATCACTCTATTCATGTGACAGTTATTTATAGAGCCCCTCCATATGTTGGGCCCTGATCCAAGTGATGGGATTATAACCAGCAGACCTAGTGCCTGCCTTCATGTCATTTACCTTCTCTATCCTGACTGGACCCAGGAAATAGCAAATGGATGTGTTATGTATTGGGAGACATGTATGCAAAGAAATTCTTGGAGGGCAGAAGTTCCAGGCCAGGATGAGCAACTCAGTAAGCCCTCATTTCATGACACACACACACACACACACACACACACACACACACACGTGTGCGCGCGCACGTAGTTGGTAGGTTGCTTGCCTAGCCCAGCATGCAGGAAACACTGGGATCTCCAGTGCCTCATAAAACTGGCATGATAGTGTATACAACAATATCTCACCCTGGGGAGGTGGGAGCAGGAGGATCAGAAGTTCTAGCTTTCTGGGGATATATACTGCCTTCATGGCCAGTCTAGGATATACTCAACTCTGTCTCAAAAAAGGAAGTAAAAAAAAATGCCACTAGAACAGTGGTTCTCAGCTTTTGGGTTGAGACCTTATGGGGATTAAATAACCTTTTCAAGGGTCACCTAAGCAAAGCACAGATATTTACATTACAATTTCTAATGATATCAAAATTACAGTTATGAAGTAGCAATGAAACAATTTTATAGTTGGGGTCACCACAAGATGAAGAGCTGTGTTAAAGGGTTGTAGCATTAGGAAGGTTGAGAACCACTGCCCTAGAAGGTTGTGATGCTTGGTTGCATCACTTCAAATGAAAAGAGGCAAATGACTACAGAGTAGTTAGAGAACAGGGGGTGTAAGTGTGTGTGTGTGTGTGTGTGTGTGTGTGTGTGTGTAGGTGTGTAGACTGAAGTGACTAATAATGGCCGCCAAGTGTGGGGTGGTACCCATTGTAAAACTAGGGAGGGGATAGAGTGAGGCAAGTCATGGATTTAACATCCTGTTCTCCTGGGATCTGTGAAGTGCCTGCAGTGTTGGCCAGAGATATCAGAACTTCAATGAAGTGGAGGAAGGGCCTTGGGGGCAAAGGGCTGTACTATGCACAGCAGGGTAGGGAGGGCACCTCGCAGGGCTGGGGACTTCAGGCTTTCTGGCCTGCTGATCACTACTTGCTGGTAGATGAGTACATATTCTAAGAAATCAGGTTTACATGATCATGGGGACTGTCAAGTCCAAACTCCCAGGCAGACTGGGAAGTCAGACAGGAAAAGATGCTGCTATCTTGAGACAGAATTTCCTCTCCACAATTTGTTTTTCCTCCTGAGCCTTCAGCTGGTAACAGGATATCCAACTGCATTGTTGAAGATATCTCCTTAAGGTCAGCTGATTATATTATCACATACTCAGAATGCCTCCACATCTGCAGAACACCTCCACATCTGCAGAACACCTCCACATCTGCAGAGCACCTCCATCCACATCTGCAGAGCACCTCCCCCCACATCTGCAGAACACCTCCACATCTGCAGAGCACCTCCACATCTGCAGAACACCTCCATCCACATCTGCAGAGCACCTCCATCCACATCTGCAGAACACCTCCACATCTGCAGAACACCTCCATCCACATCTGCAGAACACCTCCACATCTGCAGAACACCTCCACATCTGCAGAACACCTCCCCATCTGCAGAACACCTCCACATCTGCAGAACACCTCCACATCTGCAGAACACCTCCCCATCTGCAGAGCACCTCCCCATCTGCAGAACACCTCCCCATCTGCAGAGCACCTCCCCATCTGCAGAGCACCTCCACAGAAGACTCTAACATGAGTGGTTTGCTTGTTGTTCTGATATGGGTGTCTTGGTGTGTGGCCCAGGATGGCCTTGAAATGCC